TGTTCTGCTTGCTGTTTAAGTATTTTTTCAAATCTTGAAAATGATTCATGTAATACATTTCGATATCTACTGGATTGATTGGTTAAAGCTTGGGTATACGATCGAACATTTTTTTATCTTGGGCGTTAGTATCCATGCAAGGGATCCGACGGGCATTCTGAGTAGAGTTTAATCCTGAAACTCTTCCATAGCTGGTTTGTTACTGTTCTTGCGTAGTGTTGTTTTTTCCTCGAGTTTTTTTTGTCGATCACTAGTTTGGGTATGTTCTTTGATAAGTTCTTTGTATACTCTGCAGCCTTTGTAGTTTGCTGCGGTGTCCCTTGCCGCAAAGTGCACATGCTGGTTTTGTTTGTTTATCTTTTTTACACATTTCGGTAAGGTGTGCTTCTCCGCATTTCACACATCTAGGACATTCGTTGCAGTACGCACGACTATGATTGTACTGTTGGCATCTATAGCATTGGCACTATTTCTTTCTTTTTATACGGCGTTCGAACTTGACTTGGGCGATGCATTAATGTAGTAATTTTTGTAGATATCTGCGTTATTCCGCCGTGGTTCTAGGTCGACGTAGAAAAGGCATGTTGGGTCTTTTGTCAATCTATGGCGAATGTTAAATGTTCCTGACTTTGTGACCAAGTTCCTCAAGTTCACTTTGAATACTCTCTGCTTCAAACAGATGGGTGTACGTGCCTAAGGACAACTCAAAATGCTCTTTCTTTCTTAGTTGGTACGTTGTTTCATTGCTTTTTTTTCATTTAGGAATTTTATAACTGCTCTGTAGCTTTCTATTGTCTCTGGGTTGACTTTACTTCATGGTTGTACATTTTTTATGTAAATTTATTTTTGCCGATGGCTCAACGTAGTGACTCTGTGAACGAGGGCACTTTTACAACATTAGGAATAAATATAGGCGGAGGTTTTGTTTGGAGCTGTATCTTCATTAATATCGTTTGCTTGTGGCGTCTTTTCCGTGTTGTCTAGGTTGTTTATAATGGCTTTGCAGTGCTTTCAAACTGTTGCTTGTTTTTATTTCACTCGTATTTGACGCTTGCTGTGGGGTTACTATACCACCGCTGTCACGTCGTTTACGCTTAGCAGAGCGAACAACTTGCCATTCAGGTAGGAAAGTAGAATTGCACTGTAACCTGATTGTTGATGTTGATGGAATTACACTGTTTCTCCGAGGACGCGGCTGTAGCATTTCTGTGTCTTCTGCTTGCGATAACTGCGTATTGTAAAGTTTGCGTCGATTGTGGTCATAGCGTTGAACTTTAAGTTGTGCTTCTTGGAGGTCTTGTTGCAGTGTGTTGGATTTGCACTGGTATTGATCGATTAGCAGTTGTCTCTGTGCTGGTGGGTATTCACGCAGCTGTATTTCACGGCCGCTTGGTGTTGATGTAGTTCTCTTTCGCCATCCTGGTGGCCCGTAACCGAGGGCGGGGACGTAATCGCTGCCCTGATCGAAGCGGGACTTTTCACTTGCACACCGCTGACACACAGTATCGCCCGATTATAATAACTGATGTACTTAGGAAGAACGGGGTCTCACTGATAATGCGCGCGAGCACTGCACACACTGGACACACACTATCACCGTTTTATAGTAACTGTTTCACTTAGGAAAACGGGGTCTCACTGATAACGCGCGGAGCGGAAGCAGCTGGCACGTCCGACCTGCACCGCTGCCGGCTTGAACTCAGTAGATATTTTAACCAAAAATGATAATTTTTATTTCATCGATTTCATGTTTGTAAGCGTAATGAAAATACTCATAGATTTATTTTTCATACAGTTTCCGCTATTACTACTTATAAATAAATACGAAAATATTGAGTTTGATGAGATGATAACTCCTAAAACTATTATAAAAAAATTAAAATTGTGAAATTTCATTAAAGAATTCGTTGTCTATGTATTTGGATTCATTTTATAGAGTGAATTGGTATAAAGAATTTACTTTAACTTGAAGATTACTTTGATTATTGGTCTCAGTTATTGCCAACAAAGCACACAACTAGAAAGTTTGGTGAAGTCCTTCTATACATTTTGCTTCATTTTTTCTTCAAAATAGTACTATTTAGAAATCTCTTTGAAGAAATTTGTCTTTTAGGTTTCTTAAAGTATCTCCGGGTGTATTGAATTTTATTTTATATTTAAGAACTTTCAAAGTGTGATGATTAATTTTATATTTTACGAACTACACGCAGCAAATAGAATGTATTGTAAAGCTGCGGTAGATATCGGCATTTTCTACAAAACACTCATTCTGCGTGACCCTGTTATGAAAAAATTAATATATCTTGTTCCTATATGTAGTAAAATTACTTTCTCTAACACGTAGTATAGTCTGTATTAACATTATTTGTGTTCTTGATACCGTAGAATCGATAGGTGGCAAAAGTCTCTCTGTCCGTCCGTCAGTCTGTAGTCAACGCTAGTGCCGTTCGCTAAACCGTTCAGACGATTTTCTCAAATATGACTTTAATTTGTTTACTACACTTTTCTATTTTTCCTTACTTTCTCGCAACGGAATAGAGAGAGAGGTATGTAATGCGCGAAAACAAGGTGAATTTTCAAGGGAGAATAACTTTTATTATAGGGTTCTAATAACAAAAAGCGGATAAATACAGTTTTTAAAGTTAGAACAAAATCCTCTACCACTTGTAGTTTGAATCCATGTTTTGTGATCCCTTGATACCGAAAAATCACATTACCGCAAAAGGTCCGTCCGTCCGTCCGTTCGTCCGACTGTGAACAGCGCTAGCTGCTAAACCGTTCAGCCGATTTTCTCCAAAATTAATATTCCCTAATCGATCTGGCTGATGTTGCGACCCCTTCAATTTGAAACCGATATTTAAATATTTGAGGGGGATTAATTTACATTAAGCCCCTGTGACATTTTCAATAGAAGATTTTTTTCTAAATGTCGCAACTGGATTTATTCACTTTTTCATTATGTGGGCCCTGTAATAAGAATGTTCTACCGAAAATTTGCTGTTTTTTCGCGCAGCATTACATTGCTTTTTCTCTACTTCGTAGGGAGCAAGTAAAAAGTAGATGATCCATATCGCAACATGAAAATAAAAAAATATTTGATAGCAGGCGACAGCTCTCTTGGGTCGCGCTCCAGTCTCTGAGAGGTAGGCAGTGATGCACTGAGAATGAGAATTTACTCGGTACGCGCCATAGGAGAGTAGACGGAATAAGATCGTGAAATATTGGCATATTTTAGTGAAAATCGAAACTATTGAATTGTTTTTAGAATTTTTAATAAATTTCTGGACATTTATAAAAAATTTAGCCAACTTCCATAAGGCAGTTGGCTGCATAGTAATAGTTTAATTCTACGCGCATTGGACTTATTTATGTAGTTACAGAACAGTTTTTTGCCGTCTCTACTCGCTACTCTTTAAATATTTCAGCCGACTACAAATCACCTGTACCGCAAATCTCACACTCCGTGAGTTTGTCAACTTGATTGGTGCGAGAAAAGGGGAGGGGTTTAGTTATTTTGTCAGCTGCAATTTCAAATAAAATTTGTAACTCATTTGTAGTTGCAATGAGTTTCTATCATTAGTTTAGATCGAACATTTTTTAAATAAAATGTTTCCAATAAAGGTCGTTGCTCTTTTATTCATAATGTAATTAGTATCTATAAACTAACAGAAGGATGGGGCTCTGTTGTCGAAGAATATATTGCAGGGATAGTATCCCGTTGCCTATACGTAGCACAAATCACATTGATATGAGACTTGCTTACGGTAAATAAATTCGAATTAGAAAACGTAGTAGAGTAAAAGGAAGCGAATTGTGTGATAATTTATTTTATTGTCAGAAACAGTTCAAATGGCGTGTGACATGTGGAAGTATGGAGTGAGAATCTAACAAGAAAGAGAAAGGATCGCGCGTGGTACGTGGCCCGTTTGTCAGGGTACTGTTCCGGCATTCACCTGGTGTTGATCGGAAAAACCGTGGATAACTACCCATCAGAATAGCCGGTCGCTAGAATTCTCCTCCACACAGTGGCTGTAAGTCGAGGAAGCTCTCTGGTTAGTGTCGAAAATCCTGCCAGTGTCGAAAGCTAAGACCTCCCGGTCAGAGCACTACAGTGAATTATTTGACTCTCTGAGCCACCTATCCCGTTCGGAAATGTTGAATGGCAATGGCCAGACTAGAGGATAATGTTAGACCAGAGGCTCCTTCGCTGTCGGTACCAACGCCTTGGGGGTTGATGGAATTTTAAAAGGGATCAGTGATGGTCATCGAGTTAATTGGTGAGCAATTGTCTAATATGTATAATGAAGATACTACAGATTACAAATATTGATGAAGTTGATAATTGGTTTCTGATATAGTGTCAAAAATAGAATGATACATTTCAAATTCCCTTCTCTTTTTGAATTTTACATCTTTCTGATGAATGGAAACTGAACTTTTGTGCAAGTTTGATCTGTGATTTTATTTCTGAAAACATGTTATTTTTTGTGATAATTGAAAATAATATTTCTACAAAAGTAATAATACATTTATTTAAATATTTTCCTCAAAATTGTTGTTCGTATTCTTTATGTAGTTGCCAGTTTTAATTATTTTTGTGCATTTCTGTTATGAGTTTGTGGTATGCTGCATATTATAGTAGAAAATTGAAAGAAATCAATGACGCAAACCATTCTTTTTAAAAGGGAGTCTATGCACGAAAATGTTTAGAATTCCTGGATTGAACAATCAGATCAGAGAAAATTAATCGAATGCACTGAAAAATGTTTTGGCCAAATTCACATCGTGATCTTAAAGTAATATATAATGATGAAACTCTCTTTAAAAGAAACGCAAGAAAAATAAAAAATAATTGCATTTAAAATAACGTAAAAAATACTCTATCATAATTATACCACAACTTCACACAGATTTATGAAAGCTATTTCCTATTCATAAGGAGTTTCAAAAAAATATTTATTCCAGTGCCCATTTAATACATTATTTCCTTCTGTTTTCAGGTTTTGGTCGCAATCTTTTGCAGTACATAATCCACGAACATGGAAGAATGTAGAACTGTGAAACTTGCAAATGATAAATTGGAACTCGACGAAATTGAAATCTACCTGTTACACCATTTATGTCCCCAAAGATTGTTAAACTCAAACGAAGAGTTAGCCACTTTCAAAGCCAAATCAGACTTATTTGTAATACATGATGGCAAGTTATATTATAAATATCGAGAAAAGAGGAAAAAAGGCAAGGTTCCTGAACTGTGCCGCGTCATCAAAGATATTAAGGCGCAGAGACGGCTCGTAAAGAATGCCCACAGGAAAAGAAAAAGCAAATTAAAGAAAGGGAAAACAATAAAAGGAAAGTTAGAAAGTACTAAAGTATTTCGAAAATTGCTTAATTCTAATGTGTGGTGGCCAAATATGCACAAAGATGCTTGCGAGTACGTACGTAACTGCACCGATTGCCTCAAGTGCGTTGCAAATAAGTCTAAAATTCTGCGCTCTAGCGCTCGCCTGCAAACTCGTTTCCGAGTGGTGAAGAAATATTTCAGGGATTACCTGCATGGCAGGAGGAGCGTAAGAGTACTGGCTAGGAATCTGTACAAGGCGGAGCAGAGTTCAAGTGAAGGAGCTGGGCTGGGTTCTAACACTCGTGGAAGCGAGCGTCGCGGCAGGAAAGATCAAACAGGAAATTCTAAGGCAGGGAAAAGGCAAACTACCCAGCATCCCTCGACCAGAGGGTTCGAAAGACGAAGTACCTCCGGCTATGCAATCCGTGAACAGACAGTTCAAAGAAAGCAGAGCGAAACACCAACACAAGATGCCAAATCCCCGGAAGAACGTCGAGCGTTAAAACCCAGTAGTGAGAAAAAACGAGAATCGCTGCCTGTAGAAAATTGCTCAAAACTTCCTAGTCCGGAATTTAGATTATTAACTCAGAATGCCTTAAAAAATAATGAAAATGACACTATGCAGTCCAGATCAGGACAAATTATGAGTATATCAATGTACTCAAACCCTACATTTTCCTTTAAACCTACAACTGCTGCCTGGAGGCAGGAAAAGTGTAGGTTGTTGAATCTACCATATTCTTCCCTACCAGAAGTGGAAACCGCCAAGGGGGCGAGCAAAATAGGAAGACCGGAAACAATCGACGATGTTCTTGGAGACGGAAACTGCCTTTTCCGTGCCATTAGCAAGGAACTTACATTATCCGAAGCGTACCATCCCAAGTTACGCCAGATTGCAGTGTCCACTTTGGCAAATGTTCGCTACCGAAGTGCATTTGAACTGTATCTCAATGAGAAAATATCGGACTACCTGAGGAGAACACGCATGGCCCTGCCGTCAACATGGGGCACGGACGTGGAAGTTGTGGCTTTGGCCACGGCACTTGAGACTCCCATTGCCGTTTACTGTTGGTCAAGAGAAATGAAAGCACCGAGCTGGCATGTTTATGGACCAGGGATCAAGAGCAACCACGAATACGAACACTTCATTTACTTAATGATGAAGAGGTTCCATTTTTCTAGGGTAACGTCCGTTACATGAGTTTTCTGTCGACTGGTTTGAACTGGAAGCAACAACGGTGCAACGTGTACCTAAGAAAACTTAACTGCTATGAATTTGTAAAAAGAGAGTGAAGTGTGGACAGAACATAGACAAGAGTAATGAGTGAGGCAGTGAATCACAAAATATTTTGCCATATAATAAACTGATTTAAATTTTTGCCACATTTCTAACATTGGTAGTTTTGCATCCGTTACATTTAATGTTTTGGAGGCTTTGGTAGGACAAAATCTTCAATTGGATTTCGTCCGTTGCTCTCTTAAATTGAAAAGCAATTTTAATATTGACTTTCTGATTTCTAAATCGTATTTTTTTCGTGGATTCATCAATAGCATTTCTACCTTTCATACTTAGTTATGAAATTTCAAAATATTGTTTTATAAACTTATCTTTCTTGTGCATAATATTATATAAGATTGCTAAATAAACCAATTGTAATTAAAGATATAATATATGTAAAATTCATTAAAAAAGTATTTTTAACTTTTTTTATGTCGTGTTTGTCGGAAATGCTTTACATATCAATATCATCCATCTACAAATTAAGTGGTAATGTTTCAGGAAAACAGCATTTACCGTACTATAAATACCTAAATGGCATTTTTCTTTGGTACCTTACTATAAAGATTGGTACAGCAATGTACAGTAAAGACAGTGTATGTACAGTAAGATACCAAAATTGGAACTTTAATAAAACACAGATTCATGATATGGGCATAATTCCTTAATAAATGCTTCAACATGGATCTTCTTTCAATTGTTATTTAAAAAATATCCCTCCTTGATCCATACCACATGTTTCCACGTTCCTACAATTGGCTCATAGCCTATAGAATAGAAGTTTTAGGTATGTTGTGAATCTTCTGTGTCATTGCGCTCTAAAAGGTGTGTAAAAGGTCTGCCTACCCAATTCGCACTTTTGTCTTTCAGTGACCAGATTGTAACAAAAACACCATGTTTTATTAGTGATTTTTCCCCCAAAATTTATTCTTTCATGAGGAGGAGATCCTCGCTGCCCACGACCGTGTTGTTTCTTCTCTGTGGCCAAGGCATGAGGAACAAATCGTACACAAATTTTTCTTTTTTCTAAATCTGTGGTAAACAATCGCCGAACTGGCTTACTTACATTTAAACTATCTGCAATCATTTGGAGAGTAATCCGACAGTTTCCTTCCAGCAGATGACGAGCAGACTCCACATTCTCACCTGTTCTGGCAGTCGAAGGCCGACCGCCTCTTGCATCGTCTTCTCGTCTCCATTCAGTTGGGAGGCGAACAGGGTGATTCAGACCTCGTCGCTCGTACAGGACTCTGAGATAGAGTACGCTAAGTTAGTGATGGATGCAAAAGAGAGTTGTGTAAACCCTAGTGAAATTTTGAGAAAAAAAAAAAGTTTGATTTCTTTGATCATTTTTTGCATAAAGGGAGCCCAAATATTAATTAAAAATTTTTTACCTGTTGCTATTATTATCTAATTGTCTAACGAATACGAAAGGAAAGATGAAAAATGTTCTTTAAGTTTCGGATACTTTATTATTTGCGAATACAGTGCAAATTTTGTATTTTCACATCGTTTAACAGGGGCTATACAAGTGTTCAAAATTAACTCTAGCGTGAACCCAACATAAGATTCTGTGCAACACGGAACTTTGCCAGATTGTTCTTTTATTTTGGCAACTACGCTTTCAGTGCACCGTATAAGACCAATACGATCCACGATTGCCGTAGCATAAACGTAGTCTTTCATTAACCCCGAGACAAAAAAGTCCAGCGGATTTTAATCCGGCGACCGAAGCGGCCATGCTATTGAGCCTCCTCGTCTAAAAATTGCATTATATTCCCGAACTCGATTAATTATGTGGGGTTGTGCTATCATAATGGTACCTCATTAGTGCCCGCTCATTCAACTGGACCTCCTCCAAAAGCGAAGGGACAAACTGAGTTTTAAAATTCAGATACTGAACGCCCCAAAAAAACACTCAGGTAAGAATGGAATACGAATGATACATTCATCCCAAATGTGAACCCACACAATTACAGAAAAGCACTATTGGCGAGCTACGATACGTGCATCATGTTAATTTTCCTCAGCCGACCCTCGCCAATTAAGCACATCATTGTTCCATTTCTTTTAAAGCACACTTCATTTGTCCAAAGAACGGTTTCAGAAATTCCTGTTTTCCTTGCATTTGCCTCGCGAATTCAGAAGTCTAAATTACGTAAGTTTCCACTGCGCAAATGCTGCGCCCGCTTGAAATGGAAAGATCGTAATCTCTCCACTGGAAATGTTCGCCAGGTGACGAACTGTCATGCGCTGGCCTCGCGCACTATTTGCATTGCGTTCGCTTAGGGGCTTGGCGGAGAGTATTAATAACCGCGTTTTCCACGGAAGTGGCGAGGCCTAATGCGAGGTGAAGCCGCTCGCTCACTTGCCAAAGCCCATGTTACACGAGCACGAGCGCATAGACCGAAGTTTAACGTTAATTAATCACAAAACTAAACGACTAAAAGTATTGCCAAATTTGCCAAATTCAATCCATGAATTACATTTGGGACGTGGCTCCGACGAATTAGCAATGAGGTCTGAAACACTCTGTATACGAACAGTTCGCCCAGAGTCTCAGTCGTAACCGGTTGCGCCGACCACTCCCCGTTTAGATAAGCCGAAGGCGTGTTACTCACCGGGGAATTTTTGATTTGCGAAGGCCACCGCGCTCGTGTGTATTTCAGCCGTTAATGTGTCCGCACAGTTGTAATCATAGTGAAAAGTGTTTAATAGTTACTTCTTAAACTAAAAATTTGGCCAGTCAGTATTTCCTCATTCGAGAATTACTACAAAACGGAGTGGAAACAGATTACAATAGTGATATGCCAATTCTACAGCAGTCATTTTCACATGGTCCGGATCAACGTGGAAGCACAAAAATTTAAGAGCTCCAACTGGGAATTTCTGTGCCTCAAAACCACCGCTATGTATTTATGAAAATAGGACAGCCTTCCAATCCAAGTTCTCCAACAACAGGTAAAAATGTGAGTGAACCCAGACGAAGACTTCAAAAGGTCAGTACCAAACGACAGACTAACTAGTGGCAGTGAAAAGTGCTAGTGACAACAAAATTATATATATATATATATATA